TCCATCTGTGCATGTTGTTGTGAGTTTGGGTTTATTATAACGTTCATCTGGGAACGCCTGCGCCATTTTCATAGATTTGTAAGGTAAATCATTTATAAATCTAAGCAAACTCAGGAGAATACATCGCAGTTTCAAAATAAAAGCTCAAACCCTCACTCTGAGTTTTTACGTTTTGATGTCCACATATTCTTTTAATTACAGTGGCTATTGCATTTCTGTCCTAAAGAAATGGCCAAATATTAAAGATTAAGTGGACATTTGAATTAAATGGTGCTTGGTCAATATTAAACAAGTATTAGATCGCACAGCAATGTGTAAAAACAATCGTCAGGCCATTGGCGCCCTCTGCAGGCCTTTGTTGTAATGCGTAACGTACATTAGCTCTATTGTTTGATTAAATTTTAATAATCAAAAGCATCTCCACTTAATTGATTTTATTTAAATAAAAAAAAATATATATTTTCTTTTTCTTTTTTCAGAAATACTGCACATTTACATTTTTCTCCTAAATAATATCTGGTAAATAACATTTCTAGTAAATACTCCTTTAAAAAGTGTTTTTTGATTATAATTCTATTATTAGTAGACTAGAACATGTGGATATGTTGTCATTCTTACACTATAATACTGAACTTTGATTTCAGTGAGTTGGACTATGAGATGGACACTTGCTTCTTGCACTCTATGTTGCACTTTACTTTTGCTTTAGAAATTTGGATTTCATTTGGTTTAATAAAATATTCTTAAGTAAAATTGTTGATTTTTGTGGGAAATTAATAGTTTAGATTAATCGATTAATCGATAGATTAATCGAAATAAAAATAGTCGTTAGTGGCAGCCCTAATCTATAACATGAAATTTACAATGCTGATGAATCATCCAGCTAAAGAAGTAGAAATATATTCCAGATGTTATGTGCATTTATGCACATTATGCATCCCAAATGGCTCTATGGCAGCGTCTTCGAAAAATTGCAATTAATAATAATAATATTATAACAATAAAATACAATTAATGCAATCAATGCAATTAATATTATAGTTACAGAATCATAATAATTTATCATCTCAACAAGGAGAAAACTTCTGTTCTCTGTGCAAGAGCTCATAAACATCTAAAAAATCATAATAATAAAAATATTATAATGATACATATTACAATAATCATAATACGTATAACCATATTACTAAAATGAAACCGTAATAATTCCTCTCTGCAGGGATCTCAGTAATGTGAATTGTGAGGAGTTGGGCCCATTGCCTCCAGGCTGGGAGATAAGAAACACAGCCACCGGACGGGTGTACTTTGTGGACCACAACAACCGAACCACACAATTCACAGACCCGCGTCTCTCCGCTAACCTGCACCTCGTCCTAAAGTGAGTCAGTCTCAACATCATCACAAAGAACCAGTCACCATTTAACCTAGAAAATAGAGACATGAAATGGCCCTGAAATGTGCATTGTGGTATTGCTGAAGTCTCATCTCGTCGTGTTTCACGTTTACTCCAACAGTCCCAGTCCGAATGGCTCCCGTGGTCCCGTTGAGGCTCAGAGCAGGTAAGGAATCAATCAGAAACTCTGCAGTCCGAGTATTTTATCTATATTTTATCTGTATGCGTGTGTTGTGTGAGCCAGAGGAATGCATTAATGGGGAGGGATCGAGTTTCTCTTTTCCTGCCCTGACAGATCAAAGGACGTGTCCCACATTCCGTCTTCCCACTTCATGTTGTTCTTGCAGTAACAAGAATATTCGGTGGGTTACGGCATGCATGGGTGAAATCTCACAAGTCGGGGAATATCAGTTCACGTAGCAGCTCGCAAATGAATGGTTGCCCCTGCATAGTATCTTTTCACAATGTGAAGCATCTACCTTTATAGATCAATATGGCTTTTTCAATGACCAGTGCCAATATTTAAACAACATTTTGCAGTATTAATTAAAAATGTAACTCTTTTGAAATCCAAACCTCTGTTAATCGACCAAGCAGGTGTAGTTATCACCCGAAAAGTATGAAATAGAGAAAACAAATAAAGATAAGGTAAAAATAGAAAAAGATAAACAAGGTAATACTTTACAAGATAAAGTTTAAGATAACAAATAAAAAGTCAGAGTTGTGAGATAATATTACTCATATAATAACTTGGCATAATCTCTTTCTGTATTATTTGTCTATTAAATAATGTAAGCAATGAAGCCAATTTTCTTTTATTTAATGGTTAACGTTTTTCAAATATTAATATTATATTTTTAAAATACATTGAAATAAAATAATATTTGTAAAAAACTTTTATCCACCAAAGTTGTTGTTGTTTTAATATTGGATATTTTGACCTTTTTACCAGGTTAAATTGAGTAACCCTAAGAATACTACATAATATGTGTGACTTAGACATGCATGATATTTGTAAAAGGAGGAGGAAGAAAGAATTACACACACAATTACAAAAAATAATGTAAACATGCCTTTTTTCGTAGGTAGAAACAGTCTTCAGTACAATGGAGCTGATCTTAAAATGACAAATAATGATCTACTGCTAGTTTTAATAAGCTGTTTGACAATAGTACAAGGGATATTTAGTCATTTGATTGTCCCAAATAAATATTTGTTTAGTAGTTTTGCCACTGAAGTGCTTATAGCATTACAGTTATGAGCATGTTTATGTTTCATGAAATTTAGGGCAACCAGTTATCCTGTGAGAAAACACCCTAGCAACCGCTTGGCAACCTCATGATACTGTGTAGCAGTACAGCAAGAAACAGTGGTTTTAGTTGATGTTTTTCACATGAATGTTTATGTGAAACGAGATTGTCTAACTTTCAGAGCAAGTCCAAAATGTACTGTAGCTTTAGGTCAGCACATACTTAATTATTTCCAAAATCATTTTCCTGAAACTTAATGAGCTATGAATGTAATGCAGATAATAGAGCAACAAAAGTGTGAATTTTACCACAATGTAGCTTGGAGTAATTATACACTAGACAGAATCACAGTATGTTCATAACCTAGATTTTGATTTTATATCGCATCGCCATGTTTTCCACAAAGAGATGTCAGACCTCAGTCTGAGCAGATCATTTGCATTGAGACGTCATCCGTCAAGCAAACTTAACTGTCAAAGTGAGTCAGTCTAAACGTTCCTGGCGCTGCAGTAGTTTCAGTTTTGGAAAAGGCATCAGACAGGTTATGTGGATATCTGTCAAACCATCTGCCTTATATCAGCGCAGAAGATCTCACCTCTCTGTCATCAGGCAAAAATCCTCTTATGTGTGCTTTCCTCTCAACCTTGATGGGTTTATGATCTCACGATCAGTCGGTAATTTTAAGTGCGTGACGAGAGCTTCGAGTTGGTGGGTGATGGTCATGCATGTGTGTACATGCTTGAGTTGCTGTTGTCTTTTGATGGATCCACCCTCTTGATCCACATCCAGCATTTCAAGGGTCACTAATTGGTTACAGTCAAAAAAAGTGATCCAAAAATGTGCTAGGTAAGTGTTTCGGTAAATGATGTGATGCTTGTTTTTTGTTTGAATCTGTTAAGTTATTCAAAAATATATTAAATATGCATTCTTACAGATATTAGCTGGAATACATTAATAAAGATGTTTTCAGTTGAAATAATTTAAATTAAAAAATGTAATTAATTTTGATATTTTTTGTGGTCCATAAAGTTAAAAAAAATAAATCTGATTATAAGAAATATAATGATGGAATTATTGTAATTATTACTTAAGATTATAATGATAGACAAGTGTATTTAAAGGCTGGAATTACTGTATTATTTATTTTTAAATAATATCAGCTTGAAGCTACTTTGATTTGGTGGATAAAAGATAATAATAAAAATATTTTATTTGTTAATAAAATATTATTTATAAAATAATTGAAAAACCTTTATCTACCAAATAAAAGTCAGCATCACATGAAGAAAGCCATGTGTTAGTAAGTTATTATTTTAAAACAAATATATTAGATATTTTGCCCTTTTTACCAGGTCAAATGAAGTTGCTGACATTTATATTTCTAAGAGTTTGTTTTGAACTAGATTTCCTCCTTAATTTCTCGGATATCCATATTTGTCATACCCATGAATCAAAGGTAGGATAATGCACTTTTTACAAAGCAGCAGTAAGAACCCATCTAGACTGTCTGTGTTTACATTGATTCAGATTCAAACCAGATCTTAGACCAGTTATTAAGTCCTTTAAATACAGCATGAAGCAGGAAAAGTGCAGGCAAGGAGAAGTGAGTTTCTGCGTGTCAAGGAAAACGAACAGGAGGAAGGGAATATTTGAGGAACGTGGGTCACGTGCAGACAGAGAACGAGTGTGAGGAGCCGTGTCACATGGAGAAATGAGAGTCTGAGAGTGGCTGTGAAGTGAGAGTGTGTTTTGATATTAAAGAATGGGTCTCACTCCATCTTTATTTGTCTAGCACTGAATTTGTTATGCTCAAGCAGTAGCATTTGTTTGCAGATGCCACATCGTTTGACATTCTGTAATTGAATGCAGTGACATTTAAACATTTGAAGTGTCGTTAATTGTTCTAAAATGTCCAGTGTTTTGGGCTGATTGTGTATTCAGCATTATATATCAGTTTAGGACCATGTTGGAGCTTGTGAAGTGAACTCGTGTCATTTCATGTATTTGGAAGCTCTTTTTTTTTTGTCCGGTGCTGGCGTGACGCATACCTGTGATTTGGCACTGAAAGGGTGATGCTGCTCTGGCATCAGGAGGGGTGAAGAAGGGGTCAGGCTTCAGTGTTTGTGCATGCATGTTGACAGAACATTTCATCTCATTTTATTACCCCCGTCTCTCTTTTCCCCTCGCTCTTTCTCAGCAGTCGTCCCGGACAGCTGAAGGAGCAGGCTCAGTCTGTCATGTCTCCCGGAAATCTCCCCGAGGACCCTGAATGTCTCACGGTGCCCAAGTACAAGCGAGATCTGGTGCAGAAACTGAAAATCCTGAGACAGGAGCTGTCCCAGCAGCAACCGCAGGCAGGACACTGCCGTATCGAGGTCTCGCGTGAGGAGATCTTTGAGGTGAGACCCTGGATTATTTTACCTTAAAGCAGTGATTCTCAAACTTTTTTGGACCAGCACCCCCCACCCATTATCCAGGTCCCTCACCGCCCCCCATCAAATAAAATGTAGTCTAAAGGCCCGTTCACACCAAGGACGATAACGATAAAGATATAGTTCTAAAAATTGTTCTCAATATTAAAGAATAGCAGAGTCCACACCACAACTA